CCAATTCGCCGGCGCCAACGTGCCCTTCTGGGCGACCGTCGTCACCGACGTGATTTTCAACCTCACCGGTCAGCTCCCTTTAATGTTGGCATGCGGTTATATTTACATGCACTAGGCTTCGTGAACGTGCTGCTCCTGTGCGCGACGCGCAAACTTTTCCCGGATGCGCGCGAACTGCCCGAGTTCTCAACGGCGCGGAAGGACATGCGCAAATCGCTCTTCAAGGCGGGCGGGATCACGCCGTTCACAATCGGGAGCAGCGACACCGCGGAGCAGTTCCACATCCAGCGCCTCGCGCGCGTCGAGTCCGCGCGCAGCTCGCGTCGCTCGAGCCTCGCGTCGTCGGCCGCGTCGGAGGAGACCGCACAATGATCCAATTTCTATTTCTGGTTGGGGCACCGGTTGAGCCCGCGTATGGAAGATACAAGGGGAAGAAGCGACCGCGTGCAACGAGACGGCGTGGGCAGCTGGCTATGCCCGTGTCGATGCTCGATGTTCGATGTATAACAGAATTCAACTGTCGACCTGGACATGGACGTGTTCGTAGGAGCTCGAGGCTCGATTGATATCATTCATTGTAACTCTTAGATGCCACCCTTCACAACTTCATCGATTCGACCAACTGTAACATCACTGGCACACCGCGGTTCCCAGGTGCGGTTCGCATCAGCATAACTTATTCCTATTATTGTGTATGTCAATCGTGTATGCTACGAGGAGACGAGGGGTGTAACTATTCATATTCATCCATCTCGCATCAGGCAGCTGCATGCAGGCGCGCCCCAAAATAAATGAATGATATGGAGGAAGGACCGTGGAAGGATCAAGCAGGCACAAATTAAATTGACGGCGCTATTTCGAGGTTCTATCATATCCCCACTTGTTTTTGGGGGAGAAATAGCAACAGAAGGATCTCCGCTGCATCAACAGACGGGATCACAGACGCGACGACGACGGAGCGAGGGAACAGACAGCGGACCGAGGGAAACCGACGGCGACGATCCAGATGTATGTAATTACAATACCCGCGTTTGGAGATTCCGCACCAGGCCGACCATCGGGAAGTGGGACGCCCTGCCCGCGAAGGAACGAGGGGAACGCGACGCGACGCGCCAATCGCAGCGGGACAACCGCTACTCGCGACGGGATGAACGCAACACTCGCACTCGCGTTGATATTGTCGCTGCCGAACGATCCAAACATTCGTGAAAAGCATTGAGTTCATTGCCATTAGCCTATACATTAGCGGGTATCCGAGTCAATAAATGAAGTCAAGTTAACCGAGCCGCGCGTGTCGCCAGCCGCGCCTAGAGCCACGCCCACAACCGTCCAGTCCAGGGCACGCACGCCAGAGCCCAAGGACAGGAGACGCGCCCAGCACGCACGAGAGTGAGCCTAAGGCCACGAGCGCACGCCCCACCCAAACCGCTCAAAGAGCACAGGCATCCCCTCGCACGCAATGACCGCGATCCCCGCATACACGATCAGCTTCGTCAGCACGTCCGCGTCGTAGTGCTTCACCTCGTCCCCTTCCCCTTGTTCGCCTCCCTCTCCCCCTTCTCCTTCGCCGCCATACCCCTCGCCCCCCTTATCCATCGAAACATCGCCCCCCACCTCCCCGCTCTCAAGGCCCCCGAGCTCCACGCGCCGCCGCAGCCCGCTCTCCTTCCTCTTCCCGTTCTTCTCACTCGCACTCGCCCGCCCGCTCCCGATCCCGCCGACCTCCACCCCCGCGCTGCTCGGGAGGTCGATCACGGAGGGGATGGGTCTTAGGGCCGCGACGGGCGGGACGGACGCGTACTCGGTCGCGGGCGTGTAGAAGCGGCGGTGCGGGAGGCGCATGAGCGTCGCGAGGAAGCGGAACGTCGGCGGGAGGGCGCGGTGGCAAGCGGCCTTCGCGAGGAGGCGCCAGACGAAGATGATTAGGATGCCTAGAGGTGCGACGTTAGTATGAGAGGTAAAATAAGGAAAAAGGAGAGCGCAAGGGAAGGAAGGGGAGAAAGACGCACCAAACACCATCTTGAGCACCGCAGCGCCCCACCACACGCCCACATCGCCCCACCCGCGCTCGACCGCGACCCAGCCCTCCCCCTGCCCTTCCGCAGCCAACACCCTTACCCACCCACTCCCGGGCATCACGACGCCCGCGCCCTGCAGCGCATGCACCCCCCAGCGCACGGCGCCCCACCGCGCGACGAGCATGCCGAGCATCACGCTCCCGATCGCGATCGCGTCCTCGAAGCACGGGCAGTCGTCCACGGGCTGCGGGTGCTGGTTCACCGCCAGGAGCGCAAGCGGTATCAGGGTCAGCGGCACGCGCAGGCTCGAGGGCGTCGAGAGGATCCAGCCGTCGAGGTGGGCGCCCCAGCCCCAGCCGCGGAGCACGTTGAAGGAGTAGGCGTAGGAGGAGGCGGGGAAGAGGGTGAGGGGGATGCCGGCGAAGGAGGTGTGCGCGAGCCAGAGGAGGAGGCCGAGGGCGACGCCGACGAGGCAGTCGGAGAAGGAGTGCATGGCGGTGTAGAGGCGGCCGAAGACGATGGACGTGGCGTAGACGGCGAGGCCGGCGGTGAGGGCGGCGTAGGCGGGGAGGGAGAGCGCGGGCGGGGCGTCGGTGGGGGAGGCGGGGAAGGCGAGCTCGTGGATGTGCGCGAAGAAGAAGAGCGCGAGGGAGACGGCGTTGGTGCTGTGCGTCGAGGGCATGCCGTACTCGAGGTGGTGCGTACCGATGGCTGGGGAGCGGTTAGCGCGAGGGGAGAAGTACGGAGAAGGACGCACTGAGGCGGGTGACGGGCGGGGCGAACGGGCGCGGGGAGCAGAAGAGGTCCTTGGCGACGGAGGTCAAGTAGATTCCGAGGCAGAGGACGATGATCAGGCTGTAGTTACGTCAGATTAAGAAATGGAATGCAAGGAAGGGAAGCGGCTCACCCACGGCCCAGCTCGTCGTACCCGAAGAAGAAGAGCATCGGGAGGAAGGTCATGAAGAAGGTGTGGGTGCCCAGGGCGGACGTGTGCACAAAGTACGCGTCGAGCCAGGGGGAGCGGATGGCATCCTGAAAGTATTTGTTAGTATGGAAAAGGTACGGGCATGGAGGACGAGAAGATAAAGGTCCCGCAGAAGTAGCGTTAGACAGCGAACACAGGGGACAATACGGGCCAGCGCACGAGCATCGAGTGACAGCGCGCTAGTCGCGCTATACCACAACCGTGATCGCATCCCAACGTTTGTAAAGGCTGGTGTGGGATGGCCCACAAACTCGACAGAAGAAAAAAAGGACCCGCGTAGATGCTGGACGAACGATTGCCACGCAAAGTCCAGACGGCGCACATGTAGGCGGGGACACGAGCGCCAGCCACCACCGTGGCCACCGTTATCGGGCGCGAGCTGTGCGACCAATGCAGGCGACAAGGACTGCGTGGACACTCGCCAAACGATGCCACGGAAAGTCCAGACCACAGGCGGGAACACGGACATCGCGCTAGTGAGAAAGTTGCCTGCGACGCGGGCCGGCACACGAGCATGAGTGACAGCCCGCTAGCCTATTAAATGCAGTTTGGTGCATCCACGCCACAACCGTGATCGCACCCCAACCTGCATTGAAAAGCAAACAGGAGCGTGGCCCCGCTCAAGGCCGAGCAAGTAAAGCCCATAACCCAAAGCAGGCTCGCCCAAGGAGAACAGGCGACGGGCTCGACAAAGGATTGCCAGACGTAATGCAGAAGCACACGGGCATCGCGCTACGCCCAAAATGGCCACCATTATCGCGCCCCAACTTTACGACGAAGACTCCGACGACATCAAGGACATGGACTCGCCTGCATTTTAGCCACGATAACGGACTCGACACGGATACTGGCAACGAGCTTCCTGCGCACAGCCGCGCGCCACGGTGGCAGCGTTGCGTCGTACACATCCATCGGACGACAGCCGGGATCGTCCTGGATGGTCTTTCCGATGTAATCTTCCTGTAAAGACATGGAGTAGGACGAGGGGGTCGATGGGGCTGGGGACCCGGCTCTGGAGGATGCCGTAGAAGGCGGGCCTGAGAGCGTGAAGTTGACGGCGGACCGTTGGGGCCGGTCAGGCGGGGTGTGTGGTGGGGCCATTGCAGACGGTGCGGGACGAAGCGGGCGATGAGCGGGCGACGAAGAAAAGACACCAACAAGTCTCAAATCACAAACCCCGCAGATACCCGATCCGCGCATCCGGTGATCCCATCACCAAGCCAAATTGCACACACCTCAACCACCATCCGCTTACAAACTTATAAGTGTCCATAAAACTACCAGAAAACCTTCAGTTCACCGAAAATCGCCCCAGCACAGTAATATATTGAAACAGTCGTTTAAATTCAATTTGTCGTTTGTGGATTCCTCCCGGAGGATGGAGACATGATAATATTTTTTTTTCGCGCCCCAGATAGTTTCCAGCTTACATATTTTGGGACTGCGCACAGTGCAGAAAGCCTTGGTTGATTACCGGAAATCGCCCCAGCTGGATTCGTGCAAACCTGACACTCGGGTTACGCAGGTTCGAATCCTGCCCAAGGCATTCAGATGCAGCAATCGGACCTTTATGTAAGTACCTACCGCGACCACCTCTGACTTGGTTCGGCCTGTGCATAGTACAAAAAGCCTTGGTTGATTATTGGAAATCACCCCAGCCTGATACATAATCATCTGATCTGAATTTACAGCATTCATGGGGACACGCAGGTTCGAATCCTGCCCAAGGCATTCGTATGATTGAAAAAGCCTTTTTGTAAGTACCTACCGCGACTACTTCAATTCTAGCTGACTTGTTGTCGGACTATGCAGTGCAAAACGCCTGGGTTGATTATTGGAAATCACCCCAGCCTGATACATAACCATCTGAATTTACAGCATTCATGGGGACACGCAGGTTAGGCATTCATGTGGTTCAAGAGAACCTTTTTGTAAGTACCTACCGTGACCACCTCAATTGTAGCTGACTTGTTTTCGGACTGCGTGTAGTGGATAAAGCCTTGGTTGATTATTGGAAATCACCCCAGCCTGATAATCATCGGAATTTGTAGCATTCATGGGGGCACGCAGGTTCGAATCCTGCCCAAGGCATACCCATATCATGATGTTTTTTGTCCGGCTTTTAATTTGCACCATCTGCTTCGGGCCGTTGACACTGCCGCCCACCTCGATTCCAGCTCACATATTTCGGAACTGCGTGTAGTGGAGAAAGCCTTGGTTGATTATTGGAAATCACCCCAGTGCTATGTTTTGTCTTGAATAAAATTCATCATGGGGGTACGCAGGTTCGAATCCTGCCCAAGGCGTCCTCGGGATGCTTCTACGTTTTTTGTCCAGGCCGAAATTATTGTATCATTCCCTGCGAACCACCAAGTAATTAGAAGGATTTTTCACCCATCAACCACCTTACCTATGCGGAGGTTCAACTCGTCGACGCATTTATTCATCCAACATGATATTTCTCACTTGCAACGTCGTCCCATCGGGGGGAGCTCAAAGTAAAACTTTGCCAGACGCTTTTTCGCTTTTTTCGCCCGATGGTTTTGATCATATCGGCGAAAAAGCATCCTGCGCGTTTTACTTTGAGCTCCCCTATTGAAGTGTTGACACTGAAACTCGTGTGCCAGGCAGGCAAATCAACCCCACGTTTCCTCGTGAGTATCACATTAATCCATGGTTGAACAGGATCTAGAAAGCCTTGGTTGATTACTGGAAATCACCCCAGTCGGATGGATATAGTACACGCATTGAAGGGGCTGCGTAGGTTCGATTCCTGCCCAAGGCATTGCCATCGTCCAAGATTTTTTTACCGCCACCCACCCCAATTCCAGTTTACATATTTCAGGACTGCGTGTAGTAGAGAAAGCCTTGGTTGATTATTGGAAATCACCCCAGCCAGATTTGCAGTGAGTTGTGCATTGATGGGGGCTACGCAGGTTCGAATCCTGCACAAGGCATGAGGGAGTGCAACGAACGTTTTTATATGTGTGCATCGCGACCCGCCTCAATTCCAGCTCATATATTTCTGGGCTGCATGAAGTGGAGAAAGCCTTGATTGATTATTGGAAATCACCCCAGTCAGATTATGGCCTTCCGACATCGTCGATGAGACGGCGACGCAGGTTCGAATCCTGCTCAAGGCATCCCACCCCAGGAACCATACGATTTTTTTTTTGTCCAAATCCTCCGCTCCGAACCACTGAATAATAAAAGGATCTCCTATAGACAACCTTCTTACTTGAACTCGTCGGCGCATTTATTCATTCAACATGATATGGTTCAATTTGCAACGTTGGCCCATTGACATGTTGGCACTGAAACTCATGTGTAACCCAGACAAAACAGACGCGCCTTTCCTGGTAAGTATCCATCCAATTGATTTATGGGTTGAAAAGGATTTAGAAAGCCTTGGTCGATTATTGGAAATCACCCCAGCTCAATGCACAAATGAAACCCTGCCGGTTGATGGAGTTACGCAGGTTCGATTCCTGCCCAAGGCATTCGTGGTGGTTAGAGCTTTTGTTGCGTTTGTCTAGGCTGCACTTATGTGCTGTTGACATGCAGTTCTGTAAAGTTTCAACTCGTCGACGGACTCGGCCGCACATCAACTTATGCTTATGCATGGCGACTTGAGGGATTTTTTGTAGTATAGACCCGTAATCGTTGCCCGTAAGTGGATGGGCGAAAGAGGAGCTAGAAAGCCTTGGTTAATTACACTAGATCATGGAGTCATTCATAAAATTATGCAGGTTTACTCCGGGCCTAATTCCGCTCTCACTTGAGTATATTTCTGTCTTGTTTGTGTGCTAAACAGGTTTGGTATGAGTCTTCGTCGATTATTGGAATCACCCCAGCGTCTTGAAGAAAGTCATCGGCACAATGCGGATGGGGACAGGAGTTCGAATCTCCCCGAAGGCATGGTTGATAGGGGAAGTTCATTTTTATTGCAGAGTCTCGTTGAGACAAGAAAAACAGCATAAACCCTCAGCCCATCCCAAGAGCTCAACAAAGCCTAATGAATTTCTCCGACAAGGAGAAACCAACTCGTTTGGTTTCTTAATTCAAATCTCACTCGTATATTTACGCGCTAAACAGAAAGAGAACGCCTTCGTGGATTATTAGAATCACCCCAGCGGTTTAAGTGAAAGCTTTGCAAGCATATGGGGACGGAGGTTCGATTCCTCCCGAAGGCACGGGTGATGTGCAGGCAATCGCTTTTTCGCTTGTCAACGGGTTCGGCTAGAAGGAACACGATCAGCTGCTCCACTGAAACCAACCTTTCAACAGAAGTCCTTCGACTCCGTGCAAGAAGGATCAATACCAACTCGTTTGGTCTTTCCCAACATCAATTCTCACTCATATATTTACACGCTGAACAGGATAGAGAACACCTTCGTCGATTATCGGAATGTGGCACCCCAGCTGTTAAATTGAAGACACTTTGAAATGCACATGGGGACAATGGTGGTTCGATTCCTCCCGCAGGCGTGGCTAATGGGAAAGATCATTTTTTCTTGCAGATTAGGTTTCGTTGAGAAATGAAGATCAACTGCACAACCTTGCCCCAGGACATCAACAGAATCGAATTGATCCAGGAAGGAGCAACCAACTCACTCTGATGTTCCGGAGGTCAATTCTCACCCCCATATTTATGTGCTATACAGGAATGAGAACACGGAATCACCCCTGCGGTTTATCCGACAACACAATGCAGATAGGATCGAGGTTCGACTCCCCCAGAAGGTATGAGGTGGGCAGAGATCGTATTTTTTACTCACGACCAGTCGACTCTCGCTCTCTCTTAGATATTTATGTTTTACTTGTGTGCTGAACAGGTGTCGTATGAGCCTTCGTCGATTATTGGAATCACCCCAGCGGTTTAATTTCTTGTGATCTGGAATGCATATGGGGACGGATGTTCGAATGCTCCCGAAGGCATGGTCGTCCTGCGTCTTTGTTTTGTTACGCAGAGTAGGCTCGCCTAGAAGCGAACACGATCAGCTATAGAAAAATCACCCTTTCAACAGACGCAAAGTCCTCGAGCATGCAGGAAAGATAAAAATGCCTGGAGTTGCTATTCCCGACGTCAATTCTCGCCCATATATTTACGCGATAAACAGGTTAGAGAACGCCTTCGTCGATTATTGGAATCACCCCAGCGATTTGAATAAAGGCCTTCCGCAATTCATATGAGGAAGTGAGTTCGATTCCTCCCGCAGGCATGATGTGTGGAAAAATGGTGTTTTTTACTGGGGCCGAAGTGGTTCCCGCTTTCACTTACATCCTTGCTGATGTATGTTTGAATTCTTGTTAACGCATACACTGAACCGGTTGACTAGGAAAAGCCTTCGTCGATTATCGGAATCACCCCAGTGGTATAGCAGGACCGACCACGGTGCACATGGGGTCGGGGGTTCGATTCCTCCCGAAGGCATGAACATGTAGGTCTGATCTTTTTCTGTTTACCGGAATCACGGTTCACTGACACACGACATGATCAGCTGCAGGAAACTAACCTTTCAACACAAGCAAATTCGTCTACCATCTGTGAAGGAGAAACCAACCCGTTTAGTCTTTCCCAAACATGAAATTGTCACTCATGTATTTACGCACTGACCAGGAATGAGAACGCCTTCGTCCACTATCGGAATTACTCCAGCGGTTTGAGTCGTTGAAAAGGATGCATATGGGCGGCGGTTCGAATCCCCCTAAAGGCATAGTCCGGAGCTAGAAATGTTTTACTCAACTCTCCTCTCACTCACATTACTGCTGATGCTACGCTTGAATTCTCGCTAACACATACGCTGAGCAGGTTGGCCATGGAAGCCTTCGTCGATTATTGGAATCACCCTAGTTGTTTAATTGTTGTATGGCTGTACATATGGGGATGGTCGATCCCCCCGTAGAGCATGGGCATTGCGGTGAGATGCTTTTTCTTGCAGAGTTTTGTTGCGGCACCAATAACAGACCTCGGCCCATCCCAAGAACTCAACACACCGAGCTAAATTCCTCTGATGTTCAAGAAGAAGAAACCACCTCGTTTGCCCTTTCCCAACATGAAAATCTCGTTTATATATTTACGCGTTAGCCAGGAATGAGAACGCCTTCGCTGATTATTTGAATCACCCAGCGGTTTACGACCATGGGAAACCCTGTTGGAATGCATATGGGGTCAGGGTTCGATTCCTCCTGGAGGCATGTGAAGGGAGGCACGGTTTTTCTTACCGTGGGCTTTGTTGAGCCACCAATAGAACAGAACCTCGGCCCCTCCCAAGAATTCAACACACCCAGCGAAATTCCGAGCATCCATGAAGGAGAAATCAACTCGGTTTGCTTGTTCCAACATCAATTCTCTATTACGCGTTAGATAGGAATGAAAAGGCCTTCGTCGATTATCGGAATCACCCCAGCAGTCTCAGTGGGCGAAAAATATTCATATGGGGACGGGGGTTCGAATCCCTCTGAATCCGAAGGCATGAGCTGTTCCATAATAACTGTTTTTACTCCGCGGAGGTGATTCGCCCTCTCACTTACATATTTCTGTCTTGTTTGTGTTGAACAGGTTTGGTATGAGCCGTCGTCGATTATCGGAATCACCCCAGCAAATTCAGTTGGTTAAATAGAGTCTGTTTCCCCTCGAGGCGAATTTATCCTCCTTCTCACTTGGATATTTCTGTTTTCTTGGTGTGCTGACGCGGAACAGGTTGACTGGGAAATGCCTCCGTTGATTGTTGCACGTGATGAATTCCCACTGACTCGCTTTCACATTTCCTAACATCAAATTCTCGCTTATGTATTTACGTGATAAACAGGATAGAGAACGCCTTCGTCGATTACTGGAATCACCCTAGCAGGTTCAAGCCGTTCCGCATTGCATATGGGGACGGGGGTTCGATTCCTCCCGAAGGCATGTAAAAATCTGTACGACTGATTTTTCTTGCAGAGTTTTGTTGAGACACCAATAACAGCATAGATCCTCGGCCCATCCCAAGAGCTCAACACACCCAACTGGATTCCTCTGATGTGCAGGAAGAAGAAACCAGCTCGCTTTCATTTTTCCCAACATCAACATCTCACTGATTTATTTGCGAGCTAACCAGGAAGGAGAAGGCCTTCGTCGATTACCGGAATCACCCCAGCTGTTCAGATGTCCACGTTGCAATGCATATGGGGACGGAGTCCGAGTCTTGTTCTTATAGGATCACGGTTCGCTGAGATGCGAACAAGATCTGCTGCGCGGAAATCAACCTTCTGACCTAATGGATTTCTGGGACTCGGATGTGTAAGGAGGCACCAAATCTTTTTGGGGTTGTATAGTTCAACAAACTCACTCATGTATTTACGCGCTAACCAGGAATAAGAATGTCTTCGTCGATTATCGGAATCACCCCAGCCCGTTCAAGCCGTTCCGCAATGCATATGAGGTCGGGGGTTCGAATCCTCCCGAAGGCATGTGTTGTGCGTAAATATATTTTTTTAATGCTCGGCACAATTGATTCCCCCTCTCACTTGTATATATTTGTCTTATTTCTGTGTTGAACCGGATTAGTATGAGCCTTCGTCGATTACCGGACTTACCCCAGCAATTTTCAGTTGGTGAAAAATATTCCTGGTACCGACCTAGGGACCAGGTCTCAAACCCGTAACCTTGATCGGCAATTTTTCCCGTCTCGATCATGACGGGTAATTGTTTAATGCCCGGACCACGTGCATCCTACCTCCTGTATCTCGATCATGACGGGCTCTTCGTTGTTCACCGGCTCACGTCTTAGCACACCCAAAAATACGGATAATTCTATTTAGCACCCCCCCGTGCCATTGGCACCCGGGGTGCTACTATATGGCACCCCATGATTTATAAGACAACCTATGATGGCGGCTGATGGCGGGTGGCGGGATGCGGTGGGATGCGGTAGCATGTATTCGGGGTTCCTGACAGTTAGTTAATGCTCTTATACTGTAAAAACAAATGTACTCAGGATAATGAATTCATATGGGGACGGGGATTCGATTCCCTCCGAAGGCATGAGTTGTGCCATATGTAATAACTTTTTTACTCCGCCGAGATGATTCGCCCTCTCACTTGACTACAGTATATGTTTCTATCTTATTTGTGTGCTGAACAGGTTTGGTATGAGCCTTCGTCAATTATCGGAATCGCCCAGCAGTTTCGACCTCGTACAATGCATATGGGGATGGGCGTTCGATCCCCCCCGCAGGCACTCGTCCCAGTCCGGATAACTTTTTACTTCGCCGAGGTAATTCGCCCTCACTTGAGTGCAGTATATATTTCTGTCTTGTTTGTGTGTTAAACAGGTGTGGTATAAGCCTTCGTCGATTATCGGAATCACCCCAGCAGTGTAAGTCAGGCGAAAAATGTTCATATGGGGACGGGGGTTCAAATCCCTCCGAAGGCATGAGTTGTGCCATATATGATAACTTTTTTACTTCGCCGAGGTGATTCGCCCTCTCACTTGTATATATCTCTGTCTTACTTGTG